CTCCTTTTACCGAGGGATGTTGCGCACACAGCTGACTTTGCCCTTTTGTCGATAAAAGAGCCGAAGACACGTTTTTCCGCAGCCCGACACCAATCGGTTAAAGTGGACCAGCCCGACTTGGTCAAGATCATCACGCTTGGCTTCCAGCATCTTCAGCCTTCGGATAAACTTTGGAACATGTCCCCTCAAGCCCTGCGTTCCAGGTTTAAACAGATCTGTAACGCTCTGTCACTCCCTTGCGCACCTCAAAAGGGCGTCTTGCACCTGGAGCTTGCTTCCCTCCGTGCGGGAGGTGCAACATGGTTGATGTTGACCTCCGATGACTCGGAGCTTGTCAGGCGCCGCGGACGGTGGTTGACGCCGAAAATTATGGAGATCTACGTACAAGAAGTGTCAGCGCTTCAGTTTTTGCCATCCCTGGACTCCTGGACACCGAGGCAAAACGCAAAGTTTTTCAGGCTCTGGATGTTTTTCCGCTTCTGGTCTCTACAACCGCCTACCTGGCTTCTTTGCAGATACCAGAGAAAACGTGGTACCATTTGTTGGCCGCCGGGATGCGCGCTTGACCGCACAACATGGGTGATCTGGGTGAAGGCCGACAGGTCCCTCTTCGAGGCAGTGTTCTCTCTTGTGACCTTGCTTACAAGGTGCAAAAAGAGTGGACTTCTTTTTGCAGAGCGCTGCATCGGAACATGAATCCTTGACAGCATAAGGATGAACGTGAAGAGGGCGCTGGTCAAGCTACCCGCCCTCCTCTCCCACACCCAGCGGCCGACAGGTCCCTCTTCGAGGCAGTGTTCTCTCTTGTGACCTTGCTTACAAGGTGCAAAAAGAGTGGACTTCTTTTTGCAGAGCGCTGCATCGGAACATGAATCCTTATTATGAACAAGTGGCTCAAAGAGCAGCTGCCGTTTGCTTGGCCCTTGCCAACGAACATCATACTGCGGTGGGCCGAGAAAATTTATTGCACTGCCACTTCCTGAAGTGTAAACATATCTCCCCCTTCCCGCTTAGCTTTGTCCACCATCAAGGCCTCAAGCCCTCCGTCCCGGAACAATGATAGTAGTCTAGTTTCCTTTCTGTCCAAACATTCCTCCAGTGGCCAGTCCAGTGAAAATGAGCCTATCAGTACTCCGTGTCCTTTGCGATGAGAAAGACATAGCCATAGCTGTGATATTTTGGCCGCTTCAGCATCCAAATATTTTGTTCTGCGCAATGTCTTTTTGACCACATACGTTTTAGGATGAAGGGTTTAGTCTGTTCAATGTTTTAACTTGAGTTACTCCTGAAGTCGGACTGTGAATAATACAGCTGGCTGGGAACTGGAGGCCTGAAGCTAGCGCCTGCAGAAAAAAGTCGTTTTAGCTTGCCTCCGCATCTGAAGGCAGCTAGAAAGAGAGGCTTTTAAGGTTAAGGTTGTGGGGCAAAAAGAGGTGGTCGTGTATACCTTCCGCGTCCAGAAGAGTAGACTCAGGAAGCCGACTTCTGAGCATTGGCAGGCATGTCCTGGAGGGCTTGAAGCTTGAAGAATTGGAAGCTTTGAACACCTCCGGCTACTTGCCGGACAAGTTCAATGCCTGGAAATCATGCGCTGCCGTTGGTCCGCAACAGTTTTGAAGTTTGTAGTCTCAAGATGCACAAGGTGATTCATGATGGTGCGTGCTGTGTGCAATGTCATTGTTCTGGCATAAGGATTTAACCGCCATGCATATTGCTGGCATGAGAGAACGGAATACTGCTGGCGGAGGGCCATTGGATGCCATCTCAGCATTCAGGAGATTCGTTGACTTGGCGTGCTTTCTGCCCAGAAAGTTGTCGGTTCCTTCTTTTCGGAGGTTCAACTGGAAGCTGGACGGCACGACGGATCCACTGCTCAGAAAGCTGTGCCACAAAGATTTGCGTTTCTTGGTAGCGAGATTTGTGCTCGCACCTTGCTGTCCATCACAACCTACCTACAGGCTACGTGCTGACACGTTTTGATGGCTCCAAGGACCTGAGCTGTGGATGCAAATCTATTCTGCGACAGTTGCAGGGTAGCGGTAGCGTGATCAAAGGGCAGCCTGCGCAGGATTTACCGACTCTTATCCAGGAGGCAGTAGATTCAGATCCAGACCTTACCTCTGCGGAAGGGTCAGCAGTACGGGCGCTATCCTCAGCACCTGCATGGGAAAGACTGTCGTTGAGCATTCAAAGTCCATGACTCGAGATTCCTGATTCACTTGGTATGTGGCTTTATGTGGATGTGTTCCAGTATATGTTTTATGCGCTCCGTGCCAAGTGCCCACATTTTTGCCAGCCATCCAAGCAGATGTCCGGTCATGCAGCTAGAAACTTCTACGGAGCAGTCGGGTAGTTTGGGAGGAGGGAGGAACTGATTCAAGGTCGACATCAAAGTGTTTCCTCCGGTTCTCAGTTTGGGCAATGCTTGGACTTGGTGGCTCTGGATACTGCTTCTCGTCTGCTAGGTTTCTGGCCTCTTTTTTGCCTGGGGAGGCTTCAAAGCCGCGCCCTGGCGTGCCGGCGCGCGCGGTTGTCCAGAGTCTCCGTGAGCATTCCTTCTCTGTTTCGTGGTGCTGTAGCACACCACATGCTGCAAGGCAGCTTGCATCGAAGAAGGGACAGTTCCACGTCGTGGCTTTTGTTTGCAGATGACGGCAGCATTTGGCAATGGGATCAAACCAAGACTGCGGTGGGTCTTTGGGCACACATTTTTACAAGTCTCACGCTTACGAGATTGAAAATACAGTGTTCACGTGCCAGGGATGTGCACGATCATGATTTGCGGGGTTGTCCAAAACTCGCGTGTGGGCGTTCTTATGCAAAACGACCACGGGCTGGCTTAGAAGGCCTTCCCCGAAACTTCACGATTGTGTTTGTGAGAGGAAATTTGGGTTTGCGAAAGAAGCTTTGTAGGCAATTCTTCCTTATGTGCGGTGGGTAAAGGGTCGTTTTAAGAGTTCAATCACTGCTTCAAACTTGCTTCCGCGAAAGTTCGACGATGCTCGCGAAAGGAACTTTGAATTCCCGCACGGGACAGTCTGTCATGAGAGAAATTTGAATAGTCCCCATCTGCAGGCGCCCGGATGCACAGCAGTGGGCAGATTCCATCGCCTGGAGCTCATAGATCCGACTGCAGATTCAGCCGTCTTTGGGGACGCCAACCTGAGCTGCTTGGTGTTGCAACAGCACAGCTTGTCAGCAGCATGTGCTGCGCAAATGTAACGTATGGCTAAGGCAGCTAGTCCGTGTAAGGGGTTCTTGTGCTTGATCAGCTGTTGCCTGTGCTGTCCCAGGCTTTGCTCTGCATCTTGGCCAGAACAGCACGCCTCCGTTTGGTATCTGTTCTATTTCCCACACGTTGTTACAGTACCCCCTCAACAAACAGCTAGTGCAGATCGCAGCCTGGTACTGGTATCTGAAAGCCTGCTTAGAATGGCCTGCGTTTGTCGCGCACAATCTCAGGAATCTAGCTCGGCATCGCAAGGCCGCCCTGCACTCCTGCGGGAACTAGAGCTTGGGCTTGCTTGCAGAGAATGAGTCTTAGGTATTGGTTGAAATTTCTTCTTGTTCGCCTTCCTATCTGTTAACGCTGGAGTAGGACGGCCTGTGGCCGTAACGTCAGCGCTCCCTTGATTGCTTGCATCAGCTAGAAGGAACAGCAGTAGCAATGTTGCAGCAGCAATCATTTGCTAGAAAGGAGGGAGTAGAGCAGCACTGGTTCGAAGGAGACGTAGTAGCAGTGTCAGCAGTAGCAGCAGCAACGGCAGCTATGATATGCTATGACGATGTCGTCCTGATGGTGATGGTCGTGGTGGTCATGGTCCTTGTGGTGGTGGTGGTGGTGGT